TGGTGCTCTAGGCTGGGGATCCCAGCTTAGGGTTTAGTCCCCACACTTCTCAGAGGGATCCTACAGGCTGCTTAAATATCCCTCCAGCGCTTCTGCTGCCACCTGTGGGTACTCAGCCAGCCCTCTTATTCCTGTACTGTACTCCCTCCCACTCACATGTGCTCAAGCTGTTTCTTCGGTCTGTCTGTGGTTATGAGGCTTCTCTTTCGCTATTGTTCAGTTGTTGGTTCTGGATGATTTCTCCACAATTTTGTTGTGATTCCAGATTGGTCCTGGGAGGAGGTTAGTGTAACTTTAGTTCATTTTTAGTTATGGTATTTTCATTGTTTTAAAATTTTTATGTTATTTCTATCTCTCAATTGAGAAAAATTGTCAGAACGCTAATTTAAAAAAAAAAAGTCCCGGGTTCAGAGAGTTTAACAGGTTACTACTTTTTAACTTTCAAGGAATAGACTGCACTAATACAATCTAAATAGTTCCAGAGTATAATGAATGATCACAACATAATGAATAAATCAGCAAAATGAATGTCATCAGCAAATTATATGAATAATATCCAGTGATTCAAATGGGATTCAAGTTAACTGTGGAAAAATGGTTCAGTATTTGAGAAATAAGTTTTATAAATAGTTCAAGATTTTTTAAAGTGGATTACTACTTTAATAGGTGCTGGAAGAGTGACTTTATTAAAGTCAAAGTTCAGTTTTTATAACCTGAGTTAATTTAATAAACATATATCTGAAAGCAAAACAAGTTATAGGCTTAACAGAGAAATGCCGGCAGCATATGCATTAATTCAAGAGCAAGACAGGTTACTTGTTCAATGTTCTTTTTTTGTATTTACATTATTCTGGAATCTATAAGTCAATTCAGTCATGTAAGAGAAGAAAACAAGAGATATAAATAATACAAGTAGCTAATAATGTCAGAGCATTTACTTTGTATCTAGTATTGTTCTAATTATTGAACATTCTTATATCATTACCACAGATTATGATACTATCACAAGTAGATGTCACTAATGTAGAAGCTATTGTTATGACCATATAAAGTTATAGAAATTGAGGCAATAATAGTTTAAGAAACTTGCATAAGGTTTTACAGCCAATGAGTGCTGAAGACTAGGTTTGATTTAGGCAGACTGACTTCATGTATACTTACATGTATATCACTCACACTGTATAAACTAGGAGCTTACAGACTCTAAAGTCTGATTAGAGTAGAGTCATGTTCGTTCATTTGTTTATGCATTGTTATGGCTGTTTGCATGCTAAGATAGCAAAGTTGAGTGGTTATGCCACAGTACTGTGTGCCCCATAAAGCCTATATATTTACAGAAAAAAAAAACTTTAGAAAAAGTTTGCTGACCCCTGTTCTAAATCTTTGGATTCTGTTATCTTTGATTAAACTGTTAGGCCTTTTTCATTAGGAAAGAGGGGGCAAAATTATGAATACATGTTTGGTAAACCCAAGATAATCAACTAAGAAACTGTTAGAAATAGTAATCATAAAGTGAGGTAGTTTTGTTTTTAATACCACTATGCCAAATTCAGATTGTTTCCAATTTAGAAGTAATAACCAGCTTGATAATACAATGAAATAATAGGCCCAGTCTCAAAAGCAATAAAAATTAATCAATTAATTAATTAATATCTGAAAGTAAGTGTACAAGAAATCTACCACCAAAGCTGTGGGTTCAATCCCCAGTCAGGGCACATACAAGAATCAACCAATGAATGTATAAATATATGGAACAACAAATTGGTGTGTTTTAGCCCTGACCGGGTAGCTCCATTGGTTAGAGCATCATACTGATACAGCAAAGAAATGTGTAGTACCCAAATCAAGAGAAGTTTAAAACTATACTGAATTAAAAGAAGAGATTGAATAAATAGACACATTAAGTTCTCAGCTAGTATGTCTCAGCATTAAAAAAAGATATATTTTTTAAAAATCTAAATTAGTTTGTGAAATTAGACTTCTTATTCAGATACCAAGGGGATTGTTTCAACTTCATGTAATGATTCTTAAAATTTTAAGAGAAAAATGTGACCAAAAAAGACTAGGAATTTTATGAAAAATAGGTTTATGATTTCAAGATCTTAAACTGAAATATATGCTAAAGTCTTGCCCTTTCACTGCAAATTTTAGGCATCCATAAAGTTTTAATAAATTTTGTTGAAACAGAAAGGGAATTATTTATCTCTGGAATAGAAAAGAAGTAACTTCCTATAGATACATAGGAACTCTGGCAATCTGTAAAACTGTATTACTATAGGCTCAGCCTAGGTGGCTGGCTAGATAGAGTCTTCCATGCCTGGAGGGACTTAACAGGACAGAAGATGAGTGCACAACCACAAATCACCAAAACATGGAGAATGTAAACATCATAAAAGAAGAACAGCAAGTTCAACAAAAGAGTAATTTAGTCTAGAGAAATAGAGGAAAAAAAGAAGAATCTAAACACAACTTTCTTACTCTGAGCAATAAGAGAGGGATTTACTTCCACAAAGTGACAAACAAGAGTTATGAAACAAGTGCTGATGAATTATGAAAAACATAAACTAACATTGAATATTAAAACTAAGTATATATGAAAAATAGCAGAGGGGGACTCCACTGAAGAGCTGATTAGTACACTGGAAGATAGATGTGAGGAAATCTGCAAATACAATACAAAGAGTTACAAAGGAAAAAGTAAGACATAGAAACACTTACCAGAACTTCTAACATTTGTTTTAATAAGAGTTGGATTTTGTAAAATACTTGTTCTGCATTTATTGAGATAATCATTTGGTTTTTCTTTTTAGTTTAAATGTCAAACTAACCTTGTATTCCTAGGATAACTGCTAGGTTATGATACATTCCCTTTTTATGTATTTTTTGATTCTGTGTGCCAAAATTTGTTTAGAATTTTTTAATCTATGTAAAATCTAAGTAAAGATTATTGATGTATAGTTTTCTTTCCTTGTAATGTTTGTTTATTAGAGTACTTCTTGCCTCAAAGAATGAATTAGGAAGCATTCTCTCCTTTTCAATTTACTGAAAGAGTTTGTATAGAATTAGTATGATTTTTTTCATTAACTGTTTGGTGAATTTACTAGTAAAGCAATCTGGGCCTGTTTTTTTCTTTGTGGGAGGTTTTTAATTACTAATTATTTTTAGTGTCCTTTGGTAGTTTGAGTCTTCTGAAATTTGTCCATTTCATTGTATATATTTAATTTGTTGGCATAAATTTGTACATAATATTCCCTTATACTTTTAAAATCTGGAGAATCTGTACTAATGTCACCTGTCTCATTCCTGATATTGATAATTTGTGTCTTTTTTTGTCATGATCAATTTGGCTATAGGTTTGTCAATTTTACTGATCTTTTCCTCTTAATATGATGGAGAAATGTGTAATATGAAAATTTAGGGAAAAGTAGAGGGAACAGCAAGTGCTGTTCCTAAAAGGAAAATAACTTGCTGTTTTCACAGAGGATAAACTGGAAGTGACCAAAAAGGAAGCATTGAGATCAGTTATGAGACTTTTACAATAGTATATCAGAGAAAGATAATGATAGCACTGACTGCCTATGACTAACAAAGTAGTGAGAAGTGGTTAGATTCATAATATATTATGAAGGTAAAGCCAGTAGAATCTGCTAATGACTTTTATGTGTAGTGATGAAGAGTAGACATGGATAATGTTTATTAGTCTTAGGCCTGAGTAATGTGGTTATGGTAGCTTTGTGAAATAGGGAATATTGGAAAGAGAAGATTTGGGCTATTGTGGGGAAAATGGGGTGGAGGAGAGGCATTAAGAGATCTGATTTAAAGTCTTGAAAATTTTGAAGCATTAGTTGACTCAGATGATTTTTTTCTACTGCATGTATTTTCTATATATTTGTTGAAGTTATTCAGGAAATTGACTCTTCATCTTGTAAAGATTGTCTCCTATTGAATAATAGGAGATATTCAAGGTAAAGGAGGTGTATAATTTCCAATAAAACATTGAAATTGTAATATACTAGGAAATAGAAGAAACAGGTAAATATGTGAATCTTTTTTGTACTAAAAGACATTGGTGTGGAATGATCAGTCAGAATAGCAAATATTCTGTTTATAGGTAGTATAGGTAATGTGAGTAACCAAGTTGAACTTCTTAATGAGATCAAAATAGAGAATTCTGAAATTTGTTATTGTTTTGTGAAGTTCTTTGAATTTAAATCAGATATTTGAGGTGACTCAAGAAGATTGGGTCCAGGATCCCAGACCTCCTTTAAAATAGACCACGATACCAAGGTCAGCCTAAGTAGAACTGATACAATCTTTTTTGTGCCCTTCATGATAGATTCAGAAGATGACTAACTTCCAGGGGTAGAGGGATGAATCTGTAAGTTTGGAAAATGATACACTAGAGAAAAACCATGATGCTTTTTCAGAAAATAGTCTCAAAGAATCTAGCTAAACTATTAGATTGATGTTGTTCTTGATTAGAGTAAAATCCTTTCCATCGTGAACTAAAGTAGAATTGTAATAGAATACATTAAGAATTAGAGGAAGTCTTAAACTTACACTTTTTATTTCAGCAAACTACTAAATAAAATACAGTAAGCATTTAGTACGAGTAACCCTCAGAGGACAGGGACCTTTTTTGCATTATTAATCACTATATATCAAGAATAAGCATAGGGTGAGAACTTTGATATTTTTTACCTGAATATGTAAATTAATGAAACCACAAAGTGTAAGTGTGGTTTATTTGGTGATTTTATTTCTTAAGCACGTTTCTTCACTAGAGGGTGCTATGTAAGCATGCTGTACTTTAAAGTGTTTATTTTATTTACTGTGAGATTGGATTTTTAAATCACCTGATTTATTAAAAGCTTTCATTTCTTTCTTTTTTTATTAATTTCAAAACAATACTGATTGTATGTGTATGGAAAAGTTAATGAACTTCAGTAACTGTTAATGGCAACATTAACATAAATGTTTCTTTTCTTCCTCCTCTTTAGGAGACTTATGACTCCAATCATGTATGCTGCACGAGATGGTCACCCACAGGTTGTTGCTCTCCTTGTTGCTCATGGAGCAGAAGTTAATACCCAGGATGAGAATGGTTACACTGTGAGAATCCATTGTACAATGTTCCTTTTTATTTCTAAGACATTGATATTTTGTTATTAGTAGTAGGCCACACAAATCTTTTTAAAAAATAAAATTTAAGAAGGGTTGGGATATAATTGCTGTTTGATAAAGAAAATTAACAGCTGAAATGTGAAAAAAGTAATCATGTAACTCTCTTTATCCTCACCATTGTTGTAGAACCTATAACACAAAACAAAGCCTGGGCTCTAGAACACACTTAGAATCCTGTTTTAGAGAAAACAATTCAGTGATTAGCAGATAAATCATTTTATTATATAATACAACTTGAGTGTGTAAACCACTTGATTTTATAAAATCAATGAGCACTGGAAGTCTGCTTTGCAATTACAACTTTGGAAATACGTTTACATTAAATTGTGCAATGAAGAGATTGAATCATTGTATTAATTAACCATGTTAACTTTTTTAGTGTGCCATAAATACGGTTCTCTCTCTCTCATATACAGTCCCTCTTTTTAAACAATACTCTTTTCCCCTATTTTTATAGGCTTTAACATGGGCAGCACGTCAGGGTCATAAAAATGTAGTTTTGAAGTTGCTTGAACTTGGAGCTGATAAAATGCTACAGACAAAAGATGGAAATATACCAAGTGAGATTGCAAAAAGAAATAAACATCTAGAGGTATTCTTCCATATATTAAACTAATTTTTCTATGACATGTTTTCTTGTCATTTGTAGAGCTTTTATATGCATTTTTAATTTTTTTTAAATATATTGATTATGCTATTACAGTTGTCCCATTTTTTTCTCCTGTTTATTCCCCTCTACCCTGCACCCCCCTCCCACCACTGTCTCCCCCTTAGTTCATGTCCATGGGTAATACATACGTGTTCTTTGGCTTCTCCATTTCCTATATTATTCTTAACCTCCCCCTGTCTATTTTGTACCCTCCATTTATGCTTCTTTTTTTAAATCTTTTTTTATTGTTGTTCAAGTACAGTTCTCTCCATTTTTCCTCTACCAGTCCCCACCCCGACAGGCATCTCCACCTCCCACACTCGATCCTACCCCACTTTGGCCTTCTCCATGTGTCCTTTATACATGTTCCTTGACAGCCCTGTTTATTTTGTAGACCATTTATGCTTCTTATTCCCTGTACCTTTTCCGCTGTTCGCTCCCTGCCCCTCCCCACTAATAACCCTCCATGTGATCTCCATTTCTGTGATTCTATTCCTTTTCTAGTTGTTAGCTTAGTTTGTTTTATTTCTGGTTTTTTAGGTTCATTTATTGATAGTTGTAAATTTATTGCCATTTTAATATTCATAGTTTTGGTCTTGTTCTTTTTCTTATATAATTTCTTTTAACATTTCATATAATAATGGTGTGGTGATGGTGAACTCCTTTAATTTGACCTTATCTGGGAAGCACTTTATCTGCACTTCCATTCTAAATCATACCTTTGCTGGATAGAATAATCTTGGATGTAGGTCCTTGCCTTTCATGACTTGGAATACTTCTTTCCAGTCCCTTCTTGTCTGTAAAGTTTTTTTTGAGAAATGAACTGATAGTCTTGGGGGAACTCCTTTTTAGGTAACTGTTTCCTTTTCTCTTGCTGCTTTTAAGATTCTCTCCTTATCTTTAATCTTGGGTAATATAATTATGATGTGCCTTGGTGTGTGCTTCCTTGGGACCAACTTCTGTAGGACACTCTGAGCTTCCTGGACTTCCTGGAAGTCTGTTTCCTTTGCCAAATTGGGAAAGTTCACCTCCTTATTTTTTCAGATAAGTTTTCAGTGTCTTGCTCTTCTTTTCCTTCTAGCACCGCTATAATTCAGATGTTGGAATGTTTCAAGTTGTCCCTGAGGTTCCTATACCTCTTCTTGTTTTTTTGAATTCTTGTTTCTTCATTCTGTTCTGGTTGAATGTTTATTTCTCCCTTCTGCTCCAGATCATTGATTTGAGTCCCAGTTTCCTTCCCTTCACTGTTGGTTCCCTGTATATTTTCTTTATTTCACGTTGTATAGCCTTCACTTTTTTCTCTATTTCATGACCATACTCAACCATTGCTGTGAGCATCCTGATTACCAGTGTTTTGCTCTGTGTCTGATAGGTTGGCTGTCTCTTCATTGCTTTGTTCTATTTTTGAAGCTTCGATCTGTTCTTTCATTGGGGCCATATTTTTTGTCTCATTGTGCCTATTAAGTTGTAAGGGGCAGAGCCTTAGGTATTCACCAGAGTGGGGCAACCCATATCACTGCATTGTGGCACTATATGTGGGGGAGGGGTCTGAGAGGGAACAATGTCCCTTTCTGGGCTCTCTTCGGCTTTCAGTTACTTCCCTCATTACCCACAAGGGAATTGGGCCTTTCCAGAGCTGATTCCTAGGTGGGTGGGTTGGTGTACATTCTAGGATGCTGTGGGTCTCTCCAGTGAACTCTCCTGTGAGAATGGGAGTTTTTCCCACCCCTGCAACCCCCACAGATTTTTACAGCCAGAGGTTTTGAGGCTTTCTTTCCCCATACTGGAACCCTGGGTTGCGGGGTCTGTCTTACTCCCCACTTGTTCCTCCTTGTTTATCTGCATATGTTGGACCACCCAGTCTGCCAGCCACTGCCTCACCTGCTGGGTCCTCCAGCTGCCACCTTGCCAGGTGTCCTCTGTGCCCCAGCTGCCCATTGCCACACCTCCTACCAATCTGAATGTATGTTTCTTCTTTAACTCCTTGGTTGTCGGACTTCCATACAGTTTGATTTTTTGGAAGTTCTGATTATTTTTTGTTTTTAAATTTGTTGTTGTCCTTTTGGTTTGAGGAGGAGGCAAAGTATATCTACCTATATATACCTCCATCTTGGCCAGAAGTCCTTATATATGTGTTTTTTAGAATTCACAACTATAATAATAGTGTGTCTGACTATTATTAAATATTTAAATGTGCAATTTTTCGCTTAAAAGGATGGGTTCTGGGGTTTTGATTTGTTCTTCTGTTTGAGCCATCTCTCTCTCTTTTTTTTTTTGGTCTGGTCACACCTATTACAGTAAGGGGCGGAGCCTTAGATGTTCACCAGGGCTGGGCACCCCAGTCGCTGGGTTGTGACGTATGTGGGGGTGGGGTTGAGAGGGAACAATGGCGGTTCCTCCGTTCTCCATGGGACCTCAGTCCCCTCTGCTGCTTCCCTCCCAAGCAAACTGGGCCCCTCTGGTTCCAATTCCTGTGTGGGTGGGCTTGTGCATGCCATAGGGCCCTCCAAGGACCTCCCCTGTGAGGCTGGGTGTCTCTCCGTGCACCTCAACTCTCACAGGTGTCCTCAATCAGTGTCCTGAGGCTCTATTTCCCAGTGCTGTGATCCTGGGTTGCGTGCACTGCCTTGCTTTACAATCGCCACCTCACTGGGTCTGCTGGTTGCTGGTTGTCACCCTGGGCCAGGGTCTGCCAGCTGCCGCCTGCTCACTCAGGGTCCACCTGCTGCGATCTTGTGTGCCCCAGATGCCTTATGTGCCCAGTCCCACCACTCTCTGCTTTCCTTGCCTCCACTGGTGCCTGGCTGCTCGTCTCCGCCCCCCTACCAGTCTGGATGCATGGGTCTAATTCAACTTCTTGGTTATCCGACTTCCATTCAGATCAATTTTCTGTCATTTCTGGATATTATTCTGTTTCTAAATTGTTGTTGTCCCTATCTTGGTTGTGTGTGGAGGTACAGTACTTTCACCTATTCCTCCATCTTCTAATTTTTTAAAACTTATTCTCAGGATAGTAAGTTGTGAAAGTTCTGTCCCACTCAGCTTGGAAAATGTTTCCTTCTAGGTATAAAATAATCACTTGTTTACTTTCTTTTAAGTGTAAATGATAGTATATAATATTGTTTACTATATTTATTTCAATGGCTCAACTTTTTTCAGATCTTCAGCTTGCTTTCTTTGAGTTTAAATCCATTGAAAGGAAAGCTTCAACAGCAAACTAAAGAAGAGACTATTTGCAAACTACTGGCAACAGATTCTGATAAAGAAAAAGATCACATATTTAGGTAACAACATTTTTTTGTTCAACAAAACACCTATAAATTAGTAGGAATCGTTGATATTTTTAGTACTTCTAGTAAATGTCATGACACTTAAAATATATGATATTTTAAACTTACAGCACTTTTAAATATCATTTAGAAATGTCTGGATATTAAGTGCTGTATCCTCTACAATTTTAGAAAAATGTTATATATGTGTACTAACAATAATGAAAATAATTAGTGACTTCAAATAAATTATCCACAATAAAATTTATTTCTAAAAGGTTCTAAGATTGTATTCTATTAGTGTTCATGTTTTTAACACATTTTTAGCAGATTTCTGATTTTATAAGCTAAAATTAAAAATACATATTTTTCTCTGAACACTGTTCAGTACAGACCACGTAATTATTCTCTTTTCACATTTAAAATTGTTATTAAATTCTTACTTCCTGCAATTAAGATTTTCATGTATGAGATCTCACAAGGAATATACACATTGGCAGATATTTTCATTCTTAGGAAAAATGAGCTACATTTTGGTATTACCTTTTACTATCACACATTTATTTACATTGTCGCTCCAGAAACCTTTCTTATTCTTGATGTAACATAGATCTGGTATGTAAATATTTTACATGTATTTATTTTTACTCATTCTTATTCTCTACATAGTTGTTGTTTGTGCATTTATAATTTTTTCTGAAATTGACATTACTATAAATATATATATAGTTCATATACAGCATTTGGAGATCTGGAAGTATTTTTACATGGTCTTGGACTTGAACATATGACAGACTTATTAAAGGTAAGATATTGTATAAGCTACATTGAGTTATGTATGTATATTTGTTGGCTAACATAACATTAAATATCCATAAACATGCTTATGAGAGAATCCCAAATGCACTTTTCTCTGTAATTTATAATTATAAGCATTTTGTAAATTTGTACTTATACGTGTTTCAAAAATGTAGACATAAGCATTTTGAAAATTTATTATTCTAGAAATTTACATGAATTAGAATTTGGCTGGATTAAGCAGCTTTTACCCACTGCCTACCTTCACAGAACTCCTGCTTGTACATCTAAGCCATTAGTTTGTTTTTGTAGTTGTGCATCTTACTGCATAAAGTATTCAAAGGAGCATGATTTTAAAGCAAACAAAACTGGTATCAGCTTCTTGCTTTAATGGTTGTTAACTGAAATATGTTACGTAAATCTCTGACTTTTTTTCATAAGGATGATGATACTTAGTGTAGGGTTGTCATAAAGATTAAACTCATATGCCAGGGACTTATTGGCACTTGAGGCATGCATTATCAGATTTGGGTAGATGACAGTTACCAGCCAATTAGCTGATACTGAAGCATTAAAGCACTGTTGAAAATAGGTTGTCCTTAGGAATATGTACATTCTGTTTTAGTAGTTTAGAACTGGACTTCATTTTACAATCTTGAAACTTCTTATTTGACATGTATTGAGTAAAACTAAATGTTAAGGCTGGTTTAATGTGATACAAATAGAAATTTTAAATATTTGTAAAACAATTTCTATCCAATTTTATAGAGCTGCTTTTCTTTTTATGTGAGCAAATAAATATAAATTGTAATCATTTTCTTTGAATCTGGATAACTAGCTGTGTTTATCCTTTTAAGGTAATTATACATATCATGATATTTGTTACTTTGTACCCAGTAGTATAATTCAATATCTGTATATCCTATCCCCTCTAGAACATTGAGGGCAGCATGTAACTGATTAACTTATGTACACATGGCTACTTCCTCTAATACTATTTTATTTATATTGAAAGTTATTTTTTTTTCCTTTTCTACAGGAAAGGGATATAACTTTAAGACATCTTTTGACCATGAGAAAAGATGAGTTTACAAAGGTAGTATTAATTTTAAAATTGTGGAGCTCTTTACTTTCTTTTTTGAAAATCCTAGGGCTATAGACTGAGTGATCTTTTGCTAAGTTCTTGATTAGATATGATTGTAGATAACTATATCTGAAATCTTCTCTTACAGTACTAAGTTTCTTTAAGAACATTTAAGGTCTCAAGAGTTGTTTTCTTCTTTAGATTTGGCCATGACATTTCAACTAAAACTTTTGCTTCATTTCTAAATATAAATTAAATTTGCAAAACAGGTTACTTAGAAATAAGAGGTGTTTTTTATATATGTGGGTATAAACATGTTTTACCCAAATGCTGCCTTTTGTTTGGTTCTCATGATGATCAAGACCTGTTATTTTATCATCTGGTGTTATTAAGCAACAATTTGAAAATACTGTGGGAAATATGAAACATAACTTTAATGAATTGGACACCTAGAAAGTGATGATTTTTCTCAACACATGGGAACACATTGGCATGTACACACTGGAAACTTAAAATCATTAGTATCACTAAAAATCAAAATAAGCATACTAATTCACTAAATCTTGGGTAGAAAATTTAGTTAATACTAAGGGTGGAATACATACAAAAAGGAGATCTCCCTTAATTACTGATAATTTAAATGATATTTTAAACGAAAACTTGTATTACTGTGGTTTTTCAGAAAGTCTATATATGAAAATCTAGTCATTTATTTTTATAATCTGTCACAACTGTTATTTATGTATTATAAAAAATTACTTAAAGTTACTACATATCTAAATATTTTAATGATGTAAGCTTCTTAGTCACAGTTACAAACAAATCATATATTTTTCAGTGTTATTTCTTCAATATGTACCTTTTTTCAAGATGTGAAGTAATCAAGTATAAAATTTCTTTAGTAATTTTGAATATTATTCAAATATGACTATCTTATTGTACCTTGAAATTATTTCTATTTAGAATGGAATTACCGATAGAGACCAGCAGAAAATTCTGGCTGCTCTTAAAGAACTAGATGTAGAAGAGATAAAATTTGGAGAATTACCTGAAGTGGCAAAGTTGGAAATCAGGTAAAATTAACTTAGTGGTTTACATTAATATTGTTTAAAGCACACAGTTCTTTTTTTGTTTAATTTTGATAATGTCTCAGTTATTTTACTTGATGCCATCATCTCCTCAGGGAACCAGTTCATATTATAATACCATATTCTAAAATGAGAGCTACTTTCTAAAGTCAACTTTGAAAAAGTTAATTTACCAAGAAGCAAAACAATGCCTCTTCATGTTAACTCACATAAAAACATGTTTTATTTTTAATTGCATTTTATTAAATGAACTATATAAGAGATTCCACATTTTTCATAGTATAACTCTTACCCTCTTTAAATCATTTTAAGTGTCAAATTGAAAATTCGAAGTAGTGATATTTTTACTGAGGGCAATAAGAAAGTGTTTCTCATGTAACTCAAGTCTCTCTTCAGCTTTATTCTGTAAGAAATTCTGTTACAAATATACAAAGTTCATTTTCAATATTGTAAACTTGTCAAGTATGACTTAGTAATATTATATCATTTAAAATCTATTTTGAAAAGAATTTTTTATTTTCTGATATCATATGGAGCAGTAAAGACTTCTAAGTTTTTATTTGAAGTGACTATAGGGTCACAGGAAATTTTACAGGAGTATATACCAGGAGATCCCATGCACCCTTCACCCAGTCTCACCCAATGTTAATATCTTGCTTAACAAAATATTACAATATCAAAATATCAGAACCAGAAAACTGATATTGGTACAGTCCACATAGCTCATTCATATTTCATCATTTATACATGTACTCATTTGTTTGTATGTGTATATTTCTATGCAGTTTTATTACATATTATAGCTTCATGTAAACAGTGTCACAGTTACTGCAAGGTTTCTTCATACTACCCCTTTATAGCTATGCAGCTCCTTCCCCTCATCCCTAACTGCTAGCAATGAATACTTTGTTGTGTTTTTCTTAATTTTATTTATTTATTTATTTATTTATTTATTTATTTATTTATTTATTTATTTATTTTCAGAGAGAGCGGAAGGGAGGGAGAAAGAGAAGGAGAGAAGCATCAATGTGTGGTTGCCTCTCGTGCACCCCCAGCTGGGGTCCTGGCCCACAACCCGGGCATGTGCCCTGACTGGGAATTGAACCAGTGACCCTTTGTTTTACAGGCTGGTGCTCAATCCACTGAGCCACACCAGCTAGGGCTGTTATCTATTTTGTTGTTATTTAATGAATGTCATATAAATGGAATCATACAGGATGTATTTGTTACTGGCTTTTTTCAGTCAGTCTAATTTCCTTGAGGTTCATCAAAGTTATATCCTACAAAGTATAATACTTACAAATGCAGCAGTACCATCACTAGTTAGCCTGCCTAAAGCTAACATTGCATCTATGGTAAACATTAAACACATAAAAAATAGATTTTCACAATATTTTAAAATTTAGAGAAGTCTTCCAGGGTATAATTTAGATGATCCAGATTTTTTAGAAAACTTTATTGCAAAGTTCAGTTATTTCCCTTTCTCTTAATATATCTGCTTATAGCAAGATGATCTATTTTCAAAATAATGCCTCATAATTGTTTTGAAATAACATTAGCTCTTAAATATTTGAATACATTCTAAAGATTTCTGTTGCGAGGGCTTAAAATCAGCAAACCTTGATAACTTTGTTCATTTTCTTGTTTTATTGCTTCTATGCAGTAATATTCTAAGTTTTACATGCTGACTTAGAAATTAAATGTTTTAATATAACTTAATTGTATGATGGCAGAATTGCCTGTATGAATTTTTTTGTGTGTGGATTTAATACATTTAAAGAATGGGTAGAATCCTGAATGCTTCACTTATTAAAACTGCTGAATTTTTTAAAAAAGTAAAACTGGCAGACATATATTTCAGGAATTTGACCTTGTTATTAAATCATAGACTTTGTTTACATGCTGTTATGGAAAAGGTTTTACTTCCCATTTGCTCAAAGTCATTCTTTAAAGAAGAAATTAGTCATTAAGTCATAAGAAAACTAACAGCAAGAAAAGTTGAACTGATTAATTATAATCTTCTGGTAATGTGATTTTGACAATTTAGCTACTGATTTATTCTTAAGATACTTTTCTTCTATGTGTTAAATTTTCTAAAATAGTCTCTACAGAACCACATGCACTGTACATTTACTTTTTTACTACATTTGGCCTTAGTATGTTTATAGGTTTATAGAATGCAATTTACAAGAATTAATAACCATTCTATTACTACTTTGAGATATTTTATACATCAATAGTAGTTTTCATTTGTGGCTTGACATTTTCAACAGTTTCTGCCCAGACTTTTTCTCTGAACCTATCTGACATCTACTGGAATGTTTCAAAGGCATCTCAGAATTATGTCCATTAAGGAAACTCTCCTCCAAAAGAAAAAGTCTGTATAGATACAAAACTTTATGTAAAAATATTGTTCACATCTATTGTTTATAAACATTCTAAAACTAGAAACTAAATATTTAACATTAGAGAAATTATTGAATTCTGTTGCATCAATATAATTATTTTATTGTCATTAAAATTATTTTGAGACTTAATATCATGAGAAAATACTCACAATGAGTATAAAAGGCACAATATAAAATAGAGTATGAGATATAATGCCAGTTATGTATGTGCATAAGAAAAATACTGGAAGAAAATATGTAGTATAAGAAAACATTCTGAAAGAATGTATATCAGTCATCTTTGGATGATAAGAGTATTGGTAATTTTAACTTTTTAAGATATTCTATAATGAAAACACAGTACATTTATTTGGAATCCCTTTATTTAAAATAAAGTTTTATCCTAATACTTGACTTCACATTTTTAAAATATGGTCTGTTGTTTCAGTCAGTTTATACTATGTTATGCTGTAGTATCAAATAGCTTCTAAATTTAAATGAGTAGTACTAACAAAGTTTATTTTTTAATCACCTGTATGGTGTGTCAGTTGCCAGTGGCTCTCCCCCTTGTTATTATTCTGAGAACAAGCTAAAGAAACAGCTCCAACCAAGACATGCTGCTCTTGTATCAAAAGGAAAAGAGAGGGATACTCTTAAGGTCCCTCTCCTTAAGAGGGACTTCTGGCAGAAGCAATCAGTCACTCTTAAAGCTTTTGTACAAGACAGATACTTTCAGTCATATTTTATTTGCCAAAGCAAGTCACATGGCCAACCATATGTCACTGGGGCATGAAGTATTATTTTCTAGCAGAGAGAACCCTTATAGTGTTTAACTAAGTAGAACCTACATGATAATTTCATCAAGTAGTACAGGTTGTCATACCTATGCCATACCTGCATATTTTTTATTGTTTCAATAGGTACTGAATTATAATTGTTGCCAGGTAAGTGCATATAGGGGGAATCCTCTACAGCTCTGGGGTGGGGGTGGGCAGTCATTAACATAAGGTACCATGAATCACTATAAAGTTGTGTTTTTTTAAAACTTAATTATCCCTATTGTCCGTATTCAGTAGCTCTGAACATCATACATCACAAGAATGATACGTTTTCCTTTTATTTATTAAGAGTATAGTTTTGTTCATAATATTACTTGCTTGTTTGAACTGAGTTCTTACCATTCTTTCTTCTGAATAAGAACTGATAAGTTTCTGTTCCATATATATGTGTAAAGGGCCTATCTAGAATTATATAACTGCTCTCAGTTTATTTTTTTTAAATCTTCACATGAGGATATGTTTATTAATTTTAGAGAGAGAGGAAGGGAGAGAGAAAGAAACATCGCTGTGAGAAACATTGATCAGTTGCCTCCCATATGCATCCTGAGAGGGATCTAACACACAACCTAGGTATTTGCCTTGACCAGGGATCAAACCCACAACCTTTTTGGTGTATGGGACAGCACTCCAACCAACTGTGCCACCTGGTCAGGGCTCACTTGATATTTTGAATGACAGTTCTCAATGGATCTTAATTTCCTTGAGCTCATTAAATAAAAAATACACAGGATATTAATGAATTACTCTTTGAGTAATTATTCATTCTTTTCATTGATAATAAATAAAATTTGAGTATTTAAAGAGCATTAATATACCTTATCTAAATATTACATGGAAACAGAATTGATGTAAGTAATGACTACTGTTGTTTTGAGTAAAGATCAGAAAGAAAATGAAATGAGGAATTATATTTGTTTTGAAAATGCCTTTATAAATACTACTTTTGCTAAATAGGATAAGATCTTATTTAAATTTAAACTTTAATTGGCTTTTATTATTTTAATTTGCTTTTATAAAGCAGCCATCAGACACTTTTGATTGTTGGTGACTTGATTACATATAGTATGTTCATGAATTTTAAAAATATTTTATTAATTTTTATGTTTCAATTACAGTTTATATTTAATATTATTTTATATTAGTTTAAGGTATAGAGCATAACAGATAGACAATCATGTACTTTACATATGTTCCCCCGATATTTCCAATACACACCTGGCAGCATACATTCTTACTATAATATTATTGACTATATTTTCTATACTGTACTGTATATCACCATGACTCTTTTGAAACTACCAATCTGTACTTCTTAATTCCTTCAACTTTTCACTCAGTTCCCGAACCTCCCTCCACTCTGGCAACCATCAGTCTGTTCTCTGAACCTATGAGTCTATTTCTGTTGTTTTTGTTGATGTATATTGTTCTTAAAATTTCACACATAAGTAAAATCATGTGGTATTTGTATTTCTCTGACTGACTTAAAATAATGCCCTCTAGGTCCATCCATGCTGTCAGAAATTTTAAGATTTCCTTCTTTTTTATGGCAGATTAATATTCTGTTGTATATACATACCACATCTTTTTTATTCATTGATGGGCACTAGTGTTGCCCTATAGCTTGGCTATTGTAAATATTGCTGCAGTGAATATAGAAGTGTATGTACTGTATTCTTTTAAATTCATGTTTTGGGCTTCTTCCAATAACATATGCAGAAGTGAAATTGCTGGGTCATAAAGCAGTTCCATTTTTAATTTT